TTTTAAACTACCAATAAAGATACGAGCAAGGCCTCACCTTAATACCAAAAAAAAAAAAAAAAAAAAAAAAAAAAAAAGAAATCAAGTAATTTTTATAATAAAATTTTTTTAAAGTTTTGAATCCAAATAACTTAACAAAAATTTAATAAAATTTTTTTTAAAATTAATTTATTAAATTTGATCAAAAAGTTTTGCTAAGTAACTTTTAGTTTAAAGTTTTAAAAAACTTACTAAACAAAATTTGCTTAATTTCTATTGACTTATCTCCTTCCTAATAAAGATCTCTAAGAGTAATCAGCCTAAATTTTCAAATAGGTGGTTGCAGTCTTTTCAAGAGAGACATAATTTTTGTCATTTTAAATTATATAGCAAGAGTGGTTTTGCTAATGTTGCTGCCATAAACCTAAAACTTTCTAATATTATTAATACTACTAATCAATATCCTCTTTGTAATATTTACAACATGGATGAGACTGGTCTATTCTATACTATAGCTTCTGACTATACAATTGCATCTCACCAAATTGAAGGATCAAAAAAAAATTGTATAAGTTCGTGATTGTATTTACAGCCAATGAAGATGGTACCCACAAACTTTAATCTTTAATCATTGAACATTCTGCAAAACCTAGATATTTCATAAAAAAAACAGGTGAAGAGCTTGGGTTCTATTATCATAACAATAAAAAAACATAGATGACAACTATGTTTTTTCAAAAATGAATAGAAAAACTGGACAAAGAAATGAGTAAATTAAACTGTTGCATTTTATTTATTCTTGATGATGCCCTCTCACATGTTACTGATGCTCTCACCTTGACTAATGTAAAAATACTTACATTATCTTTATATATAATATCCAAAATACAACCAATAGATAATGGTATTATTGCATCATTTAAACTTCATTATCATCATATTCAACTTCAACATGCAAGTGATTTTGATGAAGCTGGAGAAAAAAATATCTATAAAATAGATCAATTGAAGGTAATAATACAAATTAAAAATGTTTAGCCATGAAAGCATCACTTAATGTCCCCATAATGCTTAACATCAAGTGATTTGACAAAAAAAAAAAATTAGCCCAAATTGAAAACTCAAGAGTCAACTTTTTTTAGCATTAGTTATAAATTTTAAACTTACCAATTATCAAATAATAATCTGTTTGGTTAAGGTTGTTCTCAAGCATCTTTCTTTATGATTAACAAAATAATTTGACTGGCTAAAAAATATATTGTGTTTAATCATTTCAATCAAAAAAAAACTTGAACCTAACAACTATCCTTTTTTTGTAGAGTTACACTAACTAAAATTTAAATTTTGTATAATGAATTTTTGGATGGCTTCAATTAATTTTGATTAATCAAAATGATTGTACAGCATCTCAATTATTAGCAAATTACATCAAAGGAGCTGCTTAAGAACCTAAATCAAAAAAATATGGTTAATCCTAATTAATATAGTTATATTAACCAAAGACCAATTAATAGATTGAAAAAAAAATTTATATTAACATACTATTGATTGCAGGCTATGAAATGAATTAAGATTGCTTAAAGTGAAGTATCAGCTGAAATAATCCAAAGATGTTTGTTCTGTACAAAAATTGTATCTTCTTATGATGAAAATAGAATATCTGTTATCTTCCCTATTGCTGTTGAAAGCATTGATGGTGTAGAAGAAAATCTACCTCTTAAATCTAATGATCAACAAGTGGCTAAAGAACTCTAACAGCAAATAGATATATTAAATCTCCATAACCAATGCCAATTGAGAACTTGCTAAACCTTAATGAGGAACAAGAAGTATACACCAGTTTACTGAAGAAGACCTGATTCAGACTGCTATAGAAATAGAACAGGTAGAAGATAAATTTGTTGCCCATTTCTAATTGGAAAAACAATTGAATATTTTATGTAGTATTCTAAGAATTGTTAATGAGAGGATTAATAATAGTGGAGTAACAATAAAAACATTATGCAAGCTACAAACCTGTATTCATGAAGAGGTTCAAAAAAAAAAGCCAGAAAGCAAGTCCAGTATAAATTAGAACAATAGTTCCAAGCTTAAAGACAATATCTACTTGTAAGTTTCTACATAATTATTCCTAAACTGTAAATATCTGAAAAAATAATTTCAGTATTAATTTTTTTTTTCTTTACTAAACTAATAGGAAAAAAGAATTTTACTTGAAAAATTAAGAATAAAATAATAGAAAATTATACTGGTAAAACTTAATAACTTTATTGATATAAAAGAAAAAAAGCTATTTAAATGATAAAAGAATTTTAAATGTCAAAAGAATTTTTTTACTAAGTAATAAATATGGCATAGTATAAATGATTATGCTTGTACTTAAATATGAACTGTATATGTTGTTCTCTTTCACTTTCTTGATTGCCTGCTTTTTTTGCTTTATTAAATTCAAAATTCTGATTGGTTGTTAATAATGTAACTACTTTTGTTAAATTAGAAACTTGTGCATTCAGACTATAAGATATCAGAAATGGCAAGTTATTGGATATAAATTAAGAAACAGGCCTGGTAAATCAATTTTTGACTAATTATAACAGATTATCAGTTTTAACAGAATCGGTTTTGGGAGGGTCGACAGTAAATATATACAAAGCTCTGTGCCTAAGTCTATATAAACAAAAGATCAGTATATAAAAAAGTTTTTAAAAAGAAGTTTCTTAATATAGTGAGTTGGCACTTAATATGAAAGAAGTGGTAAACATATCAGAAATGTAAAGAAGGAACACTAGCAGGTAATATAATAAATATAAAAAAAAACTATGAGAAAAGAATGAATTCATTAAAATTTGAATATTTCTGATATCAAACTGGTTTAGTAGATACAAAATTTACTAAAATTAGATAAATTTAAGAGGTAATTTAAGTACTATACTTAGTAAGTTTGCATCAAGGATAAATTTGAAAGACTATGAATACTTAGTAACATTCAATAAGATAGTATTTAGATATAAATAGTAATTAGATAGTCTTAATCTGTTCTGTTTTAATAATAGTAATATACTATATTTTAGATATATGCAATAAGTATTGAAAATCAGAATGTTTAAATAGGAAACTCACAAGCAGGTCTCAAATATGGCATCTAGTAGGTAATCTATAGACAAAATCCTTAATTAGATAATGACTAAAGTTATATATATAACTAGTTGTACTTTTATTGATAGATGTTTTTTTTTTTAATATTAAAGTTTCTATCTTTGAAATGTAATATTTTTATTCAAATATATAGAACATGGTTTGTCTTCAGAAGTTCTCTTATATTGGAGGTTACAACTAGTTATACATATACTTTTGGTATCTAATTTAAGTAGTCTGCTTATATATTACTATATAAGTTCTATATTAGATGCATATCTGCAAGCCAATTAGAGGGCTTGCCTATTTAAACCTTTTGTATATGCAATTTTTTTTGTATTACAAGAACATCTTCAAGGCTAAACCTATTTAAGTTTCTAATGCTGGTCAGTACCCTTAGAACTACTTTATTTTTGACAAAAACTTTTTTTTTTTTTAAATATTAGCAGTGAGGCCATGCCTTTAACTTTATTGAAATTCAATTGAAGTTTTTATAAAGAA